ACTCCTATTTGTATCCTAATCCTAAATTTTTACCATTATACAGATAGATGCATATATGCAGATATTCCAGCTCTTCAAAAAGTTAATGGAATGTACACTATCTTTTAATTCTATTTTACCACGAACTTTTGAAATACATCAAGATCAATGTAATCAATAAAATTAGTTTGGTGATAAGACAACACTGCAATTTTCTGAAAAATCTTCATACAACATTTATACATCTTAGATGAAGACTGAATTTCAGTACGATTGCTTCCCTGAACAACCCAAACATGGTTAAGTTTGTTCAGATCACACATGTGCATCATGTGAAATCAACAGGTACAATGAGTATTCTAATATTTTCATGATTGAACATTCTATTTCAGCAATAACCATGAAAAAAAAATTAGTGTTACGTAAAATAAAGTGATCTAGATGGGAAAGGTCTTTGGACGATTCTGAAAAAATAGATACTTGCATAAACTCTTTTTCTCTCTCTTTAGGAGACCCTTGGGTAAGTACAGTCTAAAGTAATTCCAAACAGACTGGGTGTTTCATGTTTAAAAAACTCTGTATTTTTTTAACATCACATGTTGAGGCCTATATCCAGTAACTATAAACATGGATACAGGGATTCTTATAAACGGAAAAGAAAGACATGGCAAATCTGTTCAAGTCATGAGTGAGTAAACCCAAAATCATTAGAGGTATACTAGTTAAAAGGCTCTAAAAAGTCATGTTTTAAATACTGACTTTGAAAATCCAAAAGCTTTCAGGTTACTTGAACCGGGCTATTTCCTGAAAGGACTAGATCTAAATTCACACCAGATAGGAGAACATAATTTGAGAAGGAATTTCAGCCTTTATTATTCCTATCCATTTTTTTAAAAATCCATTTGTTAACACCTAAGCATCCACAGTACTAGGAAATGAAGAATTGGGGTCTTCCTATCTCCCCTTACTGAGTAGTCTCAATTTCACTGGCCACACTGATCCTAAATTGTAAAAACAAATAGAGAAACATTGAGCTGCTCTCTATCCTGTCCTAGTAGAAGAAGGAACCAGAAATATAGCTGGATACTCAGGGCTCTCTGTGCAAGGAACCCTGTAGTGTAATTTGGAGAAAGAAATGCTTTTGTAAAACTGTCTGTAACTGCTCAAAGATAGTTTAGGAAAATAAAGAGTTTCGTGAAGGAAATCAAGCATGGATGGTAATCCTACATAGATAAGGAATTAACAGTCTGTACACTTAATATATTCAGTCCAAACATTTATGAAGAAGTTTCCATTTAGAAAATGGAAGGCTTTTTTTATAGATTCAGAAAAACTGGGTTCCCAATACAGACTACCCTATGTGACTTTTGTCATTATCATCTTTTCTGATTCTTACAAAGTAAACCTAATTAAGAACCTCCCTCATTAGTCTTCCAGAAAAATTAGCACAGCTTATGCTAATTACTCCTGCAAAATTTAATAAACTCGTTGAAATGGGAATAGTCTAATGAGGTTTTATTTATTGAACTAAGATAACTCCCAGGAAAAAGGTTAGGACACAAGGATATCCAATGTAGTAATAAAACTACAATTTATTCAATTTCTAAACACGACTTTTATTGCAAACCTTTTAAATTCAAATATGAGTTACTGCATGAATATGTTAAATCAATCTCCCCCTTAATTCAATAACTAGAAGTCATCTTTTGCTTTTTACTTAAACAATAATAATCACACATAGCCCTTACCTCAGTGGTAATGAAATTTGCTGTTATTAGTTCCTGGTCATCAGCTATTAAACCTAATACATTTGACTTTTCCCATGTCTACATAGCCCAAATATCTGGATCGTTGGGCACGGGCTGGGTTTTGTGCCTCATAATCCAGCTATTTGGCATCAGAAGAAATTTAACCTGGCAGTCAACTCCAGATGCACATTTCCTACATTTACAGCAATTTTCCTATAAACTTTTTGAAGTGACTTGACAAATTGACATGATTGTAGAAAGAATGTGGGTCATATTTTTCTTATATTGTTGCATGCCATTAGAATGAAGTAGAAACCCATTTTGTAAATCACAGTACACAACTTCTGATTTTGTTAATTCCACTTTTTGATAGAATTTGCCAAACTGATGTCCCCAAATCACTGGCAGCAAATAATACAGCCAAAGTTTAACACAGAAATAGCTTGCCCTGCACCATTGCTGTATGACCAGAAAGCTTCTTCTATCTATCCTATAAATAGTTTTCCTGAATAACCACTGCTAAAAGTCTTTTGACTGATAAAAATAGCAGTGTTCTTCCAAATTCCGAAGGACAAGCAAAGAGAGCTAAAAATTATTGGTGCTCAAAAGGTGGCTGTGTGTTACAACTATGCTAAATCCTATTGCCAACAATTGTCTATACTCTCAGCTCTAGAATTACACATAATATGTATCACATAAAAAGAGTTACTATTGTTACTGAATGTAGACCCTGTAGCCTATGTTTACAAAATATTCATGGATTCAAATCCATAAATCTGAAAACAAATCAAACCTTAAGCACGTAACACAGATATTATGCAATTGATAATAAAGAATCAAATTGGAAACTATGAAACTCAAACACGGTTGCCATCATTTTTTCCTTTGTAGCAATTTTATGAAATTGAAAAATCTTTTCTATTTTGCCCTTTCTTGCATAAGTTCTTTTCTTGTTGTTATTCTCTTGTTAAAAATGGAAGTTTCACATATCAGCAGACAAGACTGCAGCTCTGAAAACCTTTGACAGACTGAAGGACAAATAAATTCTGAAAATTTAGATGCAAATAAAAGTAGCTAAATGGGGTTTTGCATATCCACTGCATCACTGCATGAAAAGACAGTTTATGGAGACAGTGTAAACAGTTAGCAAATAAACATATATTGGGACTTGCGCACATACACTATGTTTCAGGCCTTCTTAAAGTACTCTCTATCTTAAGAAAGCAAGATTGGCTACACACTGTTTTCTACTTTGTCAAACCAAAGAAGAAAAAAAATGAACAGGATAAATGTCACGAGTAATATCTCTAAAGCCACCAACAGCATAAAGTGCGTACTTCTTTTGCCTAAATTGTTTGAACTACCCCAGCCAAGAAAAGGTTTTAAGTACCCTACTGGGACAGATGCAAGGCGGCAACAATAGAAGCCACATTAATGCAATCCAGGTAACACAATCCTGTTTCAAAAACTCGGGCGGGCTAATTACAGTGCTGCTGAGTCAAGTTTCTTATGCCATCGCAACCCACAGGAACAGGTCAAAATCAAATGTTATTCAAACCACAGTCATATCAGCCTTCTATATCAGAGTCACAGCTTAAAACCAAACGAAGAACTTAAAAGCTTAACCCAGTCACAAGCAAAAAAAAAAAAAACTGTTTTCATTGCGGGTGGTAAGGTAAGGTTCCTGCTATCATTTAAACCAAAAGGAACTGTGTGGCAGAACGAAATGCTTACAGTTCCAAAGTTTGAGGGAATATTTGGACTAGTCCTTTATCAGAACACTGTCTTTTTAATAAAAGAGTAAGAAAAACTTGTTTAAGATAACAAATGGCTTTTTAAAGAGGTATATTTAAATGAAACAGAGCTTCAAGGATATATTTGTTTCTGATCTTATTTGTTTGAAGCCTTTTGTCTTCCATCACAGAAAATCCAATTCTATGGATGGTCTATCTGTTGTTGTAGAAACATATGCTATCCCAATTCTATAGGCAGCACACAACATCATTAGCCTCATCTCTTAACTTTGAATGGACTATATTAATACTCATATCAAGTAAAAAATTAGTGAATATATGTGAGAGATACTTAACTAAAGTATCTTAATAAAATGTAACCTTAACAAAACTCCTAGCAATCAATATTGGGTTTACATAAAAAAAAATGTCAAAAATCAACAATCCATCTCAATATAAATTACCACGGAGCAAAATGAAACAACGTGGTTTTGCTCTTGTGAACTGAAAAATAATAAATCAAGTCCCCAAAAGGTGAAGAATTGAAATGATTAGTAGATATCTTGTTTCTTCATCGTTGTCGTTGTTGCTGTTGTCAAAAATCATTATTTCCAAAACCCCAGAAGAGGTTTTGTTCGGCTGTTGGTTTCCTCAGTGAGAGATCAGTCTTGTCTTATCTTTTTCCAGCAAGTAGAGTATGTTAGCTCTTTGCCTAACTGACAAATTGACAGTATCTATAAAGCTTCCAGGCCATTTAACTCTCAATGAGTAATACTATGTAACAAATGGTTTATCATACAAGTTTCCATACAATGAATTTCAATAATTAAAATGTAAAATGAATATTTGGAATGTGATTTTGCATAATGTGTGCACACACTGATTCAAAATTGCACCGAACAACTAAAACAGATTTATTGTTCTACAGTGATTTACTTGGTCATGTCAGATTAGTAATATGGATCTGTTTAAAAACACAATAATTAAGACAAGCAGGGTAGATTAATCAACTTACAATACAGTATGAGCTGCAATCAAACCCGGGAAATAACAGTGGAAAATCTTGGTTCACAGATCTCTTTAAACTGCTTTTATGCATAAATAAAACCTTAAAATGTAGATGGATTATGTCCAACAAAACTACTGTAGCTAAAAGTGATAATGATTCAAACATTTTTCAAATAAAAGTTAAATATTTATAAGCACCCAACCACATTTCATAAATCAAAAACTATTATTATTTTATTTCTGAAGCTTCCTGGCACAGCATGAGGATTGAGCCACAGAAAGTCAGCAATGAAAAAAATATTCCTTTAGGAGCATGAATCAGACACAAAACCAGAGCAATCCAAGAAACAAGCCTCCAAAGAACATTCCAAATGGCTTTCCCAGGAATCGCAATTGCTCGGCGCAGCGTAAGTCAAGACCAACAGTCAAATTTCAGCCACATGCATTCCTAACCCTCGCCCATGAGCGACACGAGGCAGGTGTTTCATTATAATGAGGAATAAGAATCCAGTGAAAGAAGAGTGGTCCCTACCTGTCAATTATCACTGGATCTGAGGGTGTCTCATTTCGGTTGCCACAGCTTTTCTTGTCACAACAGCGGCTATGGAGCAAAAGCGAAAGGATTTAGTACAACCATTACAATGTAAAATCATCATTTAAGTAGACAGAAGGTTCAAATTGCTGAGTTGCAAATGCTAGAATTACCACAAAGCCATACCTGGCAATCAATGGATCCCTGGGACAGAAAATTCTATTTGGGTCACCTATGGGTTAACGGCCAGGCTTAACCTCTCCCTTCTCAAAGAAGGGAGGAAGGAGAGGGGCTCTGCAACAGCCCAAGCTGACAGCCTTAAGATACGTCTCCCCATCACTGCTCCCTGGGTAGGGAGAGTTCACTGAGAAGTGCCTTATTATTACATCTACCCAATGAGAACACTCAGGGTTGTGGGTGGCTCAAACGCTCTTCCCTCCAGAACACACTGATTGTGTGGAACGCATCAATAACAAGGCATGAGTGATTTCTCTCCCTCCAGTCATTCTGTATTACATGGATTCCTTTTCCTTCTCCATCCTCTTCTATGGGTGGCATTTCCTTCAACCACAGCCTTTCCAAAAATCCTAAAACTCTGTTTTGAACCGTCTTTATGAGAAGACAGGTAAAGCACAATAATTAAGATAAGAACAAAGCAAGATAAAAGTGAAGTTTCACATTCCTCTGGCTTTCAAGGCCTGCATTGTCACCACTTCAGTTTCCAGGGAGTTTCTGGACAGTGGATCCAATGGTTAGCCTAGCCCTGACAGTAAATGTTCTGTATTAGGTCAGAGAGAGAACAGCTAGAGGCAGGCAAAGAAAGCATCTGCCACCAAAATACCACCCAGCTATGACCCTCGGGCTGCCAGGTTTTTAAAATTAACATGCTTCTAGAGGATGAAAGATTCATGATCTCTAAAGTACCCATGATCAACAGAAAACTACCCATCTGAGACTTGTTTGTAAATAAAAATATGTGTCCCCTGGCCACGCACCTGGAGGGACATACCATTGAAGTACCAGTATTATCAGTCAAGAAGGTGAGGAGGTTGTCCAAGGGTTATACTTTACCATGTACACAAGGAATATACACATTCTTTCCCCTCTTACACATGCACATTTACACACACACACACACACACACAGAGACTTAGTGAATCAAACAGCCTAAATTTAGTGAGCTGCTGCAGAGAATCAAACACTTTTATTTCAGGACCTAGAATATACTCTTGCATAGGCCATACTTCACCAAAATTGGGAAGTCTCTCTCCTCACAATAACTGTATCTCTGAGAAGAGAATCAGCTTTCAAACTTGGTGCTAAGTCTGTTTGTCTCTCTTATGTTCAAAAATTATATCTCCTTTGTAAAAGCCCCAGCTAAAAACCACCCCATCAACTGTACAGCCCTCAGCCTTTCTGTTCAGATGGAACACATTCCTCTGAGCCTACCTTATGCTATTACCAGCACTCTAAGGATAGAAAGCCCAAAGTACCCTGATATCTAAGAGACAGAAAAAGAAGCAAAGGAGCAGGAAGCACAAGTAATTAGAACACATGCAAAAAGTTAGTTTATAAAATAAACTCCATCATCCTTGGATGCTGATCCCCTACACCTATATTTCACCAGCTTGACAGGGCAGAATAATGGTTATGAACACAGGCTCTGGAATCAGAGCCCTTCTGTGATACTTTGTTCAAGGTGTTCTTCATAGAATCTTAATTTCCTCATTTATAAAAGGGGGCAATTGTAACACCTACATACTCAGTGCAATACAGATACAAAGCCTGGGCTCTGTGGTTAGCATCATTAACATGACCTTCCTCCAGCCACCACCTTTTCCAAATCTGAACAAACGCCTTGTGCTTTGCAGAGGCCACTTGTCTCCAAAAGCAGCCCATTGACAAAGCCCAAGCAGGGAATGCAAGCACGTGCTCACTACAATCCTTCTGAACAAAATACCCTCCAGGGACTCTTCCAACTTGCTTGATGATAACTGTGGATAAGAATCTACCCCTTGATGGGCGGCACTGTGGCATAGCAGGTTAAGCCGCCATCTGCTGTGCCACCATCCCATATGGGCACCAGTTCAAGTCCCAGCTGCTCTTCTTCTAATCCAGCTCCCTGCTAATGCACTTGAGAAAGCAACAGAGGATGGGGAGTGAATCAGCAGATGGAAGATCTCTGTGTTTCTCCTCTCTCTCTCTCTCTGTAACTCTTTGAAAGAAAGCAAGAAAGCAAGAAAGAAAGAAAGAAAAGATCTGCTTTTCAAGCCTATCTGATTCTCTCCCTCCTCAGTGCCACCATCCTCATCCTCGCCACTTTCATTTCTCAACTGGATCCCTGCAGTGGTCTCCTACCTGGTCTTGTTGCCTCCACTCTCTCAGCACCTCTAACAGCCAAAGGGATCTTTCTGAAACGTCATGGGATTGCATCCCTTCACTGCCCAAGCTTTTCCATGGCCTCCTACCACACTTAGAATGAATCTTTGACAGGACATGATGCCAGCCCACTTTCTACCCTCTTGCTTCTTTCCTCCAGCCTCACTGCTGAATGTCAATCCCCGCACTGGGCCACATGCAGTCAGACCTCAGGCCCGGGCCCAGGCAGGCCTCTCTACATCCTTTAGTCTGTCCCTAGTCAGTCAGCCTCCTGAACCCAGCCCAGACTTCCTTCCTCAGAGGGAGGCACCCTGACACTCATCCTTAAATTAAACTAGGTTCCTTCTGGAGGGGCTCTCCTTTTAGAGCACTGAACACAATGCAGATTACATTGTTATGTGTATATTTGTGTATCTATTTTTACTACCCTCCCTACCACTCATCCTCCCTTCTAACCTATATGCTTCATAAGGGAAGAAATTGTCCATTTAACTTACCTAATAGGTAGCATAAGGTCTGGGCTAGAATAGAAAAGCCCAAATATTCATTGATTGGATCAATGAATGACTTCATGAATGAATGGTAGGTACTGGAGGGAAAATACAACCCAAGAGAATAAGAGGGTGACAGGCGTTGCTCATGGGAGAAAGTGTACTCACGACATATACCAACCAGCACCCCAATAAGCACCACACTAAGTTGAAATATGTCCTTTGACTTAAGTACAGCCTTCATCTCCTTGAAATAAAAATGCCCCTAAGCACAGCCAGATTAATTTGACCATATCTCTATGCTATACCTCAAGAAGCCCAGAAAAACAAGCAGCTGCAAAGAATAAAGCATAGAAGGAAGCATAGATCAGGAATAAAACAGAGAATGGAGAAGGAAAAAAAAGGGGGAGGGAGCTGGCACTGTGGCATAGTGGCTTCAAGCCCCAGCCTGCAGTGCAGGTATCCCATATGGGCACTGGTTCAAGACCCGGCCGTTCCACTTCTGATCCAGCTCTCTGCTATGGCCTGGGAAAGCAGTAGAAGATGGCTCAAGTGCTTGGGCCCCTCACCCACGTAGGGGGCCTGGAGGAAGCTCCTGGCTCATGGCTTCTTTCAGTGCTGCTCCAGCCATCATGGCCAATTATTATTATTATTATTTTTTTTTTTTTGACAGGCAGAGTGGACAGTGAGAGAGAGACAGAGACAGAGAGAAAGGTCTTCCTTTTGCCACTGGTTCACCCTCCAATGGCCGCCACGGCCGGTGCGCTGATCCGAAGGCAGGAGCCAGGTGCTTCTCCTGGTCTCCCATGCAGGTACAGGGCCCAAGGACTTGGGCCATCCTCCACTGCACTCCTGGGGCCATAGCAGAGAGCTGGCCTGGAAGAGGGGCAACCAGGACAGAATCCGGTGTCCCGACCAGGACTAGAACCCGGGGTGCCCAAGCGGCATGCAGAGGATTAGCCTATTGAGCCATGGCACCAGCCTCATGGACAATTGAGGAGTGAACCAGCGGATGGAAGACCTCTCTTTTTCTCTTTCTCTCTGCCTCTCCTCTCTGTGTGTAACTCTTTCAAATAAATAAATCTTAAAAAAAAAAGTGGCTGGGGATCACTCACACTTAGAAAGAAAAGTTTGTGCAAGGTGTGCAAAATAGCCAGCAAGTTTTCTGTTTTTTGGTGACATTACTGCATCACATTGTCGTTACTTGTATTTCCAAAATAGGACACTCATGCTTCTGTTGTGTACCTCAGAGGCTACAAAACAGTGCCTTTAGTGTGATCCCACTATAAAATATGCAGATGGGGGCCAGTGCTGTGGTGCAGCAGGTTAAGCCATGGCCTGTAGTTCTGGCATCCCATATGGACAAAGGTTCAAGGCCCCGCTGCTCCATTTCCATGCCAGCTCCCAGCTAATGTGTCTGTGATAGCAGTAAGAACAGTCCAAGTCCTTGGGTCCCTGCATCCATGTGGGAGACCCAAAAAAAGCTCCTGGATCCTGGCTTCAACCTGGCCTAATCCAGTAGTTGTAGCCATCTGGAGAGTGAACCAGCAGATGGAAGCTCGTTCTCTCTCTCTCTCTGTAACTCTGCCTTTCAAATAATTAAATCTCTTAAAAATTGCAGCTGGATATGTGTATATGCACACACACATACATTCTTATATGGAATGCTGTGTTTTTAAAAAAGTTGGGCTTGAAGCACTATTGCATAAAGAAGTCTTATCTTGAAAATTGAGGAAATTAAGTTTCAGAATAGGATGTCCAGTATGGTTCCATTTCTGCGAGGAAAATTATAGAGAGGGAGACAAGGAGGGAAGGGAAGGGAACATTTTTCACAAGCATGGTTCATTGCCTCACTTTGCTCAAACCTGTCGGTATTGCCATTACCTTAGAAAGGTCCTCTCTGACTACTCCAGAGCTCTCCAGCCCTTTTCCCAGAGGACACAGTCTTAGGCATGTTTTGTTCACCTCTACATCTCCAGGTACTAGAATAGAGCCTGGCATACACTAGGCCTTCAGGAAATACCTTTTGAATAAATGAATAAGAACTCCAATGAGCTAATACACAGGGAGGGAGACAGGCGGGAGGGAACAATGCAGTGTTCTGTTCTGCAATTCATTATTACTTTGCTAATCAAAAATTAAAAATCAATTGTAAATTGGGGAAGAAAGGTCTTCCTTTAGGTTGAGCTGACATCCACT